TCTCTGCTCAAGAGAGAGGAGATAGAAGGTACACACCATGGTGTACCCTCTGGTTTTACCTCCGTGACCATGGAGAGGACATGAGGAAATGGGATGGAGAACCTACCTCGACCCTAGCTGCCCGGGTACGTGAGTTGTGAGGTAAAGCAATCAGAAAAGAGGATTCCTCCTGGAAAAATGCCACTCCAGTTTCCAGCGGGCAGTTCCCCAGACAGAGTAGAAGGGCTGAGCTCATTTCTGATCCAGGCATTTCCTGAGAGGCAGGAGGAGTCCAGATGCTCCCAAGCAGCACCAAAGTGGTGCAAGGGCTTGTCTGAGCCCGGTTCCCCAGGCAAGGCTGCTGTCAGAAGCCCGTGAACACTGACTGCCTCCTGGTTCAACAAAGGAGCTACTCATTTTAATGGAAAGGATGTCCTTTACAGAGCAAAGGGAAATGCTGACTGTCCTGCCCCGAGGAGGCAGATCAGTGTCTGCTTTCGTTCTGTGTTTAGGGTTTTTTTTAGTTCATTAGGAGCATCTTCTTTTACACCAAAATCTGTTTTTGTGTTTGGCACGAGAACTAATGGGGACATTTGTTTTTCCTACAAATGTCACTGTTAGGCTTTTGTGGGATAAAAAGTGGCTTCTTTTTTGATCATTGCTCAGCTAGGTCACTGACCATCGGAGCTTTTCTGGTTGTGTCTGTTTGAGAAGTAAAAGGTGGCTGCTAGAAAGGCTCCAGACAGCTATCTACGAGGGCGTTTCCTCCCCCAAACCCCAGAAGAGCCTAACGCTGCTGCTGTTGCATTTCTGTGGCCCTCCAGGAATCCCACTGTGTGTGTAGGGGAGGAATGAAAAAATCTCTGGGAATCTTTGCATTAAGGGTGCCTAAACCAAGAAAAGGCAAACCTGCTGACATCATCGCAATTTGGGAGAGAAAGGGCTGAGCTACCAGGGCCACTGCCAGCATACTGTCATTAGGCACCAGAGTCAACGTTGACTCGAGAGGCCTGGGCAGAGCCCAGACCCCCCTGAAAGCAGCTGCAAGACCTGCCACGAGGTACAGGCCAACTCCTCTGATGCTTCGGGCTCACGCTGGAACCCAAAGCGCTCCAAGCCCCAAAATGCAGCAGCCTCTGCAGCACAGCAGCAACAGACAGTGCAGAGCAGCGTGGGGAGCTGGAGCAGAGGGAGGGGGCGCCCGGGCCGGGATCGGCTCCCTTCGGCTGGGCTCGGCTTATTTCGTCTGGGCTCGGCTCGGTTCGGCTCTTCTCGTTTCGGGTGGGCTCGGCTCCCCTCGGCTCCGCTCGGCTCATCTCGTTTCGGCTGGGCTCGGCTCCGTTCGGCTCGGTTCGGCTCTTCTCGTTTCGGCTGGGCTCGGCTCCGTTCGGCTCATCTCGTTTCGTCTCCGTTCGGCTCATCTGCTTCGGGTGGGC